CAAATCTAGTTTTTACGCAAATTCTTGAAATTGTTTTTATAATTTTGCCTTTTAGATTATTTGGCTAGGAGTGATTCATTTAATTTGCAGTTGTCTCAGGTTTCTTAGCAATCATCTTGTGTATGTGGAATTTCTTGTGAAGTGGAAAAGCTCTAACCTACAAATTGTTATCAAGTGTAATAAAATTTTTATGAAATTTTTATAAAATTAGTAATTAATGGGTTTAATATAGTATGGTTTATAGATATTCAATTAGATATTTATTTAGCTTCCACCTTTTTTTATTTTAATTTTATTTTTTTTTAAAGATTTTTATTGGGGAATTGGGGGATGTGAACAGCGCTGGGGAATTGGGGGAAGGAGAACAGACAAGCTGCTGTCCTTTTGTTCTTCAGTCTAGTTGTAGAGGACGTTGCTTCGCTGGCCCAAGTTGGCACCATCATTGCGCTCTTCCTGGGTGAGGCAGATCGGTCGCCGGCTTCTGGATGGCCGCTCTCGGCGGCAGCTGGCCACTCACGCTGACTGCTGGCTACACATGGTAGCCCATGGTACAGCCTACACCATTGCCGGCGACTCACAGCAGCCCAGCTCCAGGTTGAGCTGTTGTTCAGCATCTTAGCTGTGGAGGGCAGTGTCACTGGCCCTCATATGTGGGATCCGAACCGGGGCCCTCTTGGCGTCCCAAGCCAGCTCTTAACCAACGCGCCACTCGGCCGGCCCAATTTTAATTTTTTAGGACTTATTTATATAGACCCCTGAAAAGCTCTAACTTATGATTTGTTATCAAATATAATAAATTTTGTATGAAATTGTCATAAAATTAACAATTAATGGGTTTAACATATAGTATAGTTTATGGACACTTAGTTAGATATTTATTTAGGTACTGCCATTTTTTATTTTAATTTTCCCTTTAGAAGTCATTGTTCTCAGGCCCTGGATGCGCTGCCTACACGGCCTCCTGGCCACATGTACGGGAGGAGGAATCTGCTGCAGGCCTGGCCACCAGGGCCGGGCTTGCTCTTGCCATGGAAACTGGGACGTGGGGAGTAGAGAGGCTGCATGTCCCTGGGTCCTGAAGAAGGACAATACTAACAAAATTAGTGAGGAACAAACACAGAAGAAAGCTCAGAGCAGGCGTGGGAAAGCTTTCACCTACCTGGGCCAGCCTGGGGAAGGGTGAGGGGTCAGAGATGATTTCTAGGTCTCATCTTCAGCATTATAAGTAATGAGCGTCCTTGGCTGGAACACGAACTCCCTTGCCTTCTCTAACAGTACACCCCCCTCGTTTCCTTCCCACATCCCTGGTTTCTGAGACAGGGAGTATGCGAGGAAGAATATAATAAGGGTGCCAGGGGATCCCTAGTGTGTCAGGTGCCATTGAGACACACAAACAAAGGTGCCCAATAGACCGAAGGAGCTCAAAGAATGGGTCCATGGCTTTATCAGGTTATCTGAGATTTTGGCATCAATTAGTGTGCTCAGTTGCAAGTAAAAGAAACTAATCCTGGCTAATTTAAACAGAAAATGAGTTTATGAAAATACTTGTTAGGTAGTTCACAGAAGTGCTGGGAAGGCCAGAAAATTAAGCTAAGAGCTAATTGGTCTGCTGAAGAAACTAACACTGCCATCAAGCACCACATGCTTCAACTTGTTCTGCTGCTCCTGCTGCCATGGAAACCCCACCTTGGTACAAACAACATGGTCACCACAGAAGTCTCTGTGGTCCCTGCTTTTTTTGTTTTAATTACCACCACTAGACCTGTACCCTGGCTGCAAGGGATGTTGGGAAACCGAGATTTTAATATATCTAGTTTCTGTAGTGAGACGTGAGCTCTGCCTCTCAAGACTCCTGAGCTAAGGAATTTCCCCCAAATAGGAAAGGGTTCAGATTCCATGCAGTCAAAATGAACGACAAATATTCATTACATACAATGCCCTTGACTCTAAATGGCTAGAAACCACTGCTGTAGAGTGGGCAGAAAGGACAGGTAAGGCTAGGCAACTGGAGAATATCACTATATAAAGAACATTCTTGAAATTCCTCGCACCTGGAAGTGGTAGGCATTCATAAGATGCATTGCCCCGAACCCCACCTCAGACCAGCTGCCTAGATTTTGGAGAATAGGCTGTGTTTGTGCAATAAGAGGCAGAGAGCTGAGTTCCAGAAAGAAGGCTCCCCGGTCTCTTCTTCCCTACCTTGTGTTCTTGATGATATTGGGAGTCCAGGGGCATGAAGACCGTTAAGTAGGTTCGACCGTCATCACTTAGAAAATACTCCAGGACACAATTATTGGTAAAGAAAAGTGCTATTTTTTAATTTGTTCTTGAATGTATAGGTCCTGTTAAGATCAGTGACACTTCCCCTTACAATATTCCTTCCTCATGCCCCCAACCAAAACTTTGGATTCCAATGGCCACTTCTAGAAAAGGCCTAGGAGAAACTCACCCTAGATATCCAAGAAAGGGGTGCAGCTTGAGGAGTGGGCATATGGCTCAAGAAACAGCACCAGCTACTGAAGACTTTCCTGAAAGCAGCTCGCTTTGGCCTGAGTCCCTTTGCCCTGCCTTGGCCAGGATCCCCCAGCGTTCCCTTGTTCCTTGTGTGGCCTGAGCTTGAGAGTTAGAATCACCATTACCATCTTTAGAGCTGGAGAACCTTGGAGAGGTCACTGTTTTCAATAAACCACCATCACCCACCCCACCCCACCCCCACACACCTTTATAGATGGGGAAACTGTACCCGAGGTCACACAGCTCCTAATGGGCAGGGCCAAAATTTAGGTGTTCAGAGTCTCAAATCAGATATCTGTCTACCATACCTTCCTACCTCCAAGAAAACAAGCAACATCTGCCTTCAGGTCTAGGGAGAACTGGAGCAAGCAGGTGGTGATGGTCAGTACAGATGGGAAAGACCTGATTAAAGGAGGCCAGGCTGACCCCAGCTGAGCCCCCAGCAAGTGATACATCACAGCACGTCTCAGCTTTCCCTCCATGAGAATGTTATCAGTGGCAGACACCCACCCGGCCAAGATTCTCCTCCCAGTTAGCAGCACTACAGCGTGATCCCAAGCTCCTCACCAACCATGGCGAGCTCTAACTGGTTATGGGGATCACGGCAATGAGCTGCCCACTAGCCTGGTAATCCCCTTTACCACACCGCTTCTTGGTAAGACCCAAATCACACTCTTGGGTCCCCTTAGCAAACATGGCTAAAATCTGTCTCTGTGGTGTGCTGGAAGAGACAGGGGAGGATTCACAGAATCTGCCACCCTAGCAGAGCTCGTAAACATGCTTGGCATGGGGAGAACTGAGTTCAGGGAAGAAACGGACTCGATGAATAGGCTAACACAGAGAGTGGGGAGCAGAGACCACAGGAAGCCACCGATGTGCCCCCTGTCAAGGTTCTAAGGAAGGCTCAGCATGTGTGGCTGAGAGGGAAGAGGATAATCCAGAGACCTGTGGTGTCATAAAAGCCAAGTAAAGAGGATGTTTCAAAAAGGAAAAGGTGGATGGTGTATGAAATGCTGCAGAGAGTTCAAGACAGGTGAGGACTGAAAGGTATTCATTTGATTTGGCAACTGGGTGGTTGCTGGTGACTTTTATGAAAAACTTTAGAGAGTTGAAGAGTGACTGAGAAGAATCAATGAAAAAGATTCTTTTTTAAAGAAACTTGGCTGACATGGAAAAGTGTAAGGGACAACAGACTCTAAGAAAGTTTGTTTTAATTCTGGAGAGAGCTTTGCTTGTCTGTAGGCTGTGTGGACATAACCAATGGAGAGAGGGAGCTTGAAGACCTTGGAAAGTGAGAGCAGTGGGAGAAGTGATGGAGCAGTCTTGGAGGACATATAACAGGATGAAAGAAATAGAGCACCAAACAGGAGCACAAGGAGGGTAGAGACACAGAGAGATGGAAAGGGGAGAGGAACAAATGGGCAAGGACATTCTTGCTTTAGGGCCTCTCTTCTATGGAGTGGGCAAGGAGGCCAGTCATTTGCTGAGAGCAAAGATAAAGGGCATGGGAGGAAATCAGAATAATAACAAGTCAAAGATATACCAATCAACACTGAGAGCGCAACTGACGCTGTCAACAGAATCTGCCATGCTTAGCAGCCCAGGAAGAGGGAGCAAAAAATAGGTTGAGGCAGAAAATGGAGAATGGTAAATAGTTTCAGCAAAAGTTGGAGGGGATGAGAAAGTTCAGGATGCTGATAAAAATGTCAGTGTGTGATGGGCCATAGGTTCAGGCTGGGAAGAGGAAGGCTGAAAGACTGGAAGAACAGCTGAGGTCATGGAAATGGGCTAAAGGAGCAAGCAGTTTAAATAAATAGCAGCAAGGAAGTGGGAGAAGAGGAAGCACAGCAGTAGTGACACAGAAAGAACAAAGTCTCAGCTCAGGAGTTCAGTAGAGAAGACTACAGGTG